GGGGAGGGGGGAGGAACTACCAAAAAAGTAAACTACTACAGTTCATCGCACTTTATCGAACGTTGCCAGCATTGTGGAAATAGAATATTTGTGTGTGCTTGTAGGTACATGTACTTCTTTTTAATAGCAATTCTTTAGCCCAGATGGTCCTCCTTCTAGATTTCTTTTTGGATTTGAGAACAAAAATGCTATGGAATCATCCACGTTACTTGCTTTAGCCATTTAGTTGACGTTTTGACCTATATTCACGCGTGGAACGCAATTTAATACCGGATTACCAAGTTCAATTATGTTTGTGTGTTTTCTTTTGTTTTCCCATTCGGCCAGCCCCTTCATTTTTGAAAGTGAAGGCAAATAATGTGTCACGTGGTGTGACGTGTACAGCAGAGATGTTTTGGAGTCAGCTGAGAGCTACACACTACACTGACTACACACCATTGCTTCATCTAGACTATTCTAGACCAGTAGATCTAGACAGTGCTGTTTATTTAATTATTATTTTTTTGTCTACACGCTACCAGTTTTACTATTGCACATGTCTTCTAGTTTTACTTCAATGACTACAATGTCCGTGTTGGAGTCAGCTGAAGGCTACACACCATTGTTTCATATAGACAGTGCTGTTTATTTATTTGTTTTTGTCTACACGCTACCAGTTTTACTATTGCACAGGTCTTCTAGCCTAGTTCTAGTACAATGTCCGTGTGGAATAACAAGGAAACTGGGCGTCTTTTCGATAGTTCCCACCCCGCTTTTTTGGACCTAGAGATCTAGATCTAGATTTAGATCAGAAGTTATGTTTGATGCGCGGCGAGCGAGAGATATCAAACCTAACGGCAAAACATCAAATTATGGTAAAGTGCCCCCCACCCCCCTTTGAACCCCCCTCCACATTCTTATTAGATTTCTAGCTGTCCCCCTGAAACACTCTTGGGACCAAAACCGGCGAATAGTAATTGGAAGAGGGGGGGGGGGGGGCTACTGAAAAAGTAAACTATTCTACAGTTCATCGAACATTATCGAACGTTGCCAGTATTGTGGAAATAGAATATTTGCGTGTGTGTAGGTATTTCTTTTTAATAGCCATTCTTTAGCCCAGATGGTCCTCTTTCTAGAGTTGTTTTTGGATTTGAGAACAAAAAATGCTGCCAAATCATCCATGTAGCTTGCTTCAGCTATTGTTAACGTTTTTGACCTTGATCTAGCTACAACAGTCCAAGGACGGATAAAAAAACTGTACGTCTAAACGGAACTTCTCCCGTCGACAAACTTTCAGTTTACCGATGACACAGATCGAGCGTCCGTCGGTTAAACTGTCAGTTTGTCGATCAGCGAACTGGACGTCTAAATGGGCCTTTAGCTACAGAAGTAATCAATCCAGAAGGACAGGAGAAAAGGCATAATACATAATATAATTTTTATCAATGAAGGCGGGCCCAGTTCGGACATTCAGACGTTATGGTGTCGGTGGCCCAGTAGATAGGCTCTCGGACTCGCAACCGTGAAGTCGTGGGATGGGCAGATGCCCTTCTACAAACTGGCTGTTTTCGGGAAGCCAGACCTGGACCATCTTTAGTCGCCTCTTATGGCACGCAGTATCAAGGCATGTGTTTTTCTTTGCTCCTACAAAGCAAAACTATGCCCCCCCCTGCTCCTAAAAAGAAAAAAAATGCCCCCCCCCCAAAAAAAAAAAAGCTGCTGCTGCTGCTGCTGCTGCTGCTGCTGCTGCTGCTGCTGCTGCTGCTGCTGCTGCTGCTGCTGCTGCTGATGATGATGATGATGATGATGACCATCATGATCATGATGATGGAATAGAACCAAGAGACTAACCCAGGAAAATGGAAGGTGGAAAGTGTTTGTTCGTGGCCTATACCCCGATGAAAGGGTCAGAAAGGCGGTAATGAAATGATGACTAAAAATGTGTCTGTTCCCGACTCAAACCGATGAATCCGATTGGCAGTGTGCGCTGTGTATAACTGCTACAGCACAAACAACGGTAAAGTTATTTCCTGGTGGCGTATTTTGAATTCATTCCAGGACCGTTAAACCCACCTCATTGAAGTCGATCACGTCAGTAGTCAATTGAATTCTCCACCTTCTTTACGGCGTTATTTTGCCTCGATCCGAACTCCCACTGGACGTATCGATTTCTCAAGTAGGCTAAAGGCTTAATGCCTATTGCACACTGCCAAACGAATTTATTTGATTGAGTAGGGGTCAGACAGATTTTTTCTCCGTGGATAAGCAAAAGCTACTGTTTGGCACAATTTAACCAAATTCGACCGAATCCGATTAAATTGGATTGTGACCTTCAATATCAAACGCGTTTGTTTTCAAGTTTGCGAGTCGGAGTGATCGTAGTGTGACAAATGGTAACTTTTGTCCCTCTATATAGGCGAAAATCTGTCGTGCTCCAACATAATTCGACTGAATTCGATTCAGTGTACGCTGGGTATAGCAACAAATTATAGTGTAAACAATCGCTAAGGTAACAAACAGATTTCCCAAGCATACAGAAAACTGAAAAGTGCTCAATCAGCTATCTATCATCCTCATCTCTCCTCTTTCTTTTGCGTGTGTGTGTGTGTGTGTGTGTGTGTGTGTGTGTGTGTGTGTGTGTGTGTGTGTGTGTGTGTGTGTGTGTGTGTGTGTGTGTGTGTGCCATGAAGGAGGGATCCTTCTTTGGTTGAGAAAATATATTGTTCTGAGAAAGAGCAATCAGCCCGAAACAATTTCTACGTATTTATTTATTTATTTATTTATTTATTTTATTTATTTATTTATTTATTTATTTATTTATTTGTTTATTTATTTATTTATTTATTTACTATTTATTATTTTATTTATTTATTTGTTTATTTATTTGTGTATTTATTTATCTATTTGTATATTTATTTCATTCTTCCGGGGAGGGGGGGGGGGT